GTGCCACCAGGCAACAGCAGGGCCTCTGAGGAGCTGACGGGGCTGGTGCGAGCTGAGCCTCGGAGAGCAGCACCGGGACAGCCACAGTGCTCCTTCCACACCAGGCAAGGCAGTGACCGGGGAGGGAGTGGGACCAATGAGACCGCACGTGTCCTGTCTACAGCATGGTACCAAGATGGAAGCCTACAGGTTCTCCAGGCCCAGTGCCTCCTCTCAGGACCCGGGCTCTGGGCCAGCTGTTCCAGTCCTGAATATGAATACATAGGGCTGGGCAGCAGGCCCGGGTGAGCATTGTCGTTTTGTTTCTGGCTGCCACTAGGGCCCACTGGGAGACATCCCAGACCATGCCCTCAACATCAACCGAGTTCACCTCAACCGACTGTTCACACAGGATGCCCAAGGTTGGGCACCAAAGCCTGCACGTGAACTCACTGAGGGACGTCTGCCCCAGGCTGGGAGGGCACTGGCGCTGATGGGGCAGTAAAAGCATCTGCGTCAGCCGTGAACCCCTGACAGCGTGGAAGTGGATCAGCACCCAAGTTCCCAAGATGCCTGCAAGGCCATAAAGACCCCCAATGATGGACCTGCCTCGGGTAGAAAGAGGAGAAGTAAAAAAGTATGGGGAGGCCTCAGTAAGACCTTGGAACTAGAGACAGTGCTGGCATCCCTGGGGCTCGCTAGTTCATCCCGGAGGGTGGCAGCCATTGATTCGGTAAGGGTCCACTTGGCCTCTCACGAGGAAATGAACCTCAAATTCAACTCCCCTGGTTCAGCAAAGAGATGCTATTGTTAAATGATGTTTTTCAAGTGTGAATGAAATATTTATAAAAATTATTAAGGCAGGTTACTGTCTCTCTACCTATTAACCATTTCCCCTTCTTTCTCACTAGTAGAATCCCTACAACCGGAAATTGACTATACATGCAGCCAAATTCTAAATGAAACAGAAACAGAACTGTGGTGTGAGTCCTTGACGAAGATTCCTTAAAGGGAGCTGACCCAGAAGGTATATCCTTTTCTTCCATCCTTCTCCTCCCTGTACTGTGGATGTGATGGCTGGAACTCTAACAGCCATGTTGGACTATGAGGTAATTTTGATGATAGAAGACAGCACTAGAATGGCATAGAAACCGGAAGTCTGGGTTCCTGAGAGAATTGTGGGGATCTGCCTATCTCCAAACTTCTATGGCATGAGAGATAAATACATCAATTTGTTTAAGCCACTGTTACTTTGAACTTTTTTATATGTAGATGGTCCTGGCCCTGATATAATCAAAGAAAGCCAGAATTGTAGAGGCCACTCTCTCTGAAAACAGGGCAAACTAGAAAATAATAAAAGAATATTTTTAAAAAATCCACTTGGGATTTGAAATGTGTTCTATCGAATTAAAGCTAAAAGATTGAATCCCCTGATTAAGGAGGATTTAAAACCATAATTTTAAACTTATTTAGAAACAAAAACATAGATCACTATATGTGAAAACATATTAGATATGGCCAGATATTAGACACACTCAGGAGAAAATTCACAGCCGTAAGCCCTTTTTATTACAAGGAAAGAATGAAATAAATAAATTAAGCAGTAGATGAAAAAAAAAACCCTACTACAAACAAATAAAGGAAGCCAAAAGGCTATTATAAAAACAAAAATGAATAAATTAGAAAACAAAAACAGAAGAACTGATAACATTCAAGAAGTAATTCCTAGACACAAGTCCCACAGACCTGGTTATTGTAATGAAGAAGACGGCAGTGAGATGTTATGGTAAGAGTTGTCAGGGGAACTTTTGGTTTGGGGCCTTTTTTTGCACTGTTCGAATTTTGAGCTGAGAGAACATATTCATATATTACTTGCATATCTTTTAAAATAGTCTTTAAAAAATTCTTGGTGGTAATTTTGAGTTCCAAGAACATATTCATGTATTACTTGTATAATTTTATAAAATATACGGAGAAAAAATTTTAATCCTGGGAGTATTTCTGAACTCCAAAGATAAAGAGAAAAAAATACCAAAGGATCCCAAGGGGAGGGGATAGTTTACCTACAAAGGAAAACAGAATCAGACCAACTACTGCTCATTCATGAGAGGGGCAAAAGTCATTTACAGATATGCCAGGGCTCACTGAGTGTATTACCCACACGCTCTAAATATTATTCAAAGAGGGGCTCTAGCCAAAGGAAAAACACACACATGCACACACGAAGTGCCTAAATAATTGTGATGTTTATTTACTACATCTGCTGGGTAGTTTTGGCTAAGCTAAACTTTCCCAGAAATGTATCCATTTCTTCTAAGTCTTCAAATTTATTGCCCCAGATTTTTCAATGCATTCTGATCTTCTAAACTTCTACTGTATCCATAGTTATTGTACTTTTTATTCCTAATATTGTTTATTTGTATCTTCTCTCTTTTTTCTTGCTCACTGTTGCCAGAAATATCTATTTAATTAGTCCTCCACAGACACTAAGAATTTATTGTCAATTTCAAAATATATATATATGCACAAGATTATCCATTCTTGTATTATTCATACTGCCAAAATATTGGAAATAACCTAAATGCCCATACATAAAAAAAGCAGTTGATTAAATTATGGTGCTTCTACATAGCAGACCACTATGCAGCTATTAAAAGTAAAAGAATGAAGAAGATCTGTATAAACAGATATATCATGATTTCTAGAATACATCCCTAAGTAAAAAGCCAAAACACTGCAAAAGAATTATATAGTTGGGGCTGGCTTTAGCTCAGCAGATACTTCGGTTCAAGAATTATATAGTTTGCTTATTTTTACAAAAGACATGGGAAGAATAAAATTATTTACTCACAGAGGGTGGGTGGAAAGGAGGTAGAAGGGATGGAGGGGGAAATGAAACTTTTATTATGAGTTTTTATAAAGCTTTGACTTTTGAACTATGTTGATATTTTACATTTTTCCAAAAGTAAATCAATAAGAATGGGAAACAACTGAAATTGAATGACAGCAGAAACTTTTATCAAATAAATAACATAAACACAACAGAAGAAAAATTCAAACAATTTTTAAACATGGTTTTCTGATTGTATACTCTTGGTAGGATATATTCAATAGACAAAAAGAACTTGAAAGAAATCTTGGGCTTTACCTAATACATTTCAGGGGGAGTGGCAGTGATATAGCAATTCTGAAAGTCCTTTATTTATATGAATCGGATTTAGTGAGTACACAAATATATTGCTGTTGGAGTCTCACTCAGGGAGAAGGCAGACATAAATATGGAAGGAAGGAAGAAAGGAAATCGGAGATGCTGGATTGGACTTACAGGAATTAGTATAATCTCAAGATTTTTAAAAAGTTGTGCCTTCTAGCTCAACTGTCTGTGAAGACGGCCTCACAGCAATGACACTCTGCTAACAAGGTCACACCCAGAATCCAGACTTTGGTTTCTAAGTCCCATTAGCCTCTGAAAGGAACCACGGCTTTCTGGAGAAAAGGATGACTTTAGGACTAGGGCAGAGAGACACAAGATGAGTCTGGCTTAGCCGCATCTTGTGCTAGGAAGTGTTGAAGTTCTCCAAGAACGAGAAGGACGTGTGAGACAGACTCAGAAACTACTTTGAAGGGCTCCTGTTGGTCAAATTTGGCACAATTTGCATATACAACCAAATAATGACAAGTAAATTATTACTTACTGAATATAAACAATACGCCAGACTGCATTGGTAGTTTTAAAACACATTGAAGGAGAAGGCAGAAGGGAAATCTCTCAGTTACAGGAGGAAACCAACTATTAAACAGAGATAGAATGGTAAATATAAAACATACACGGAACTTTGAGACCAGGGAAATATCCTGCTCCCAATCAGTTTCTCACTCAGTGGGCTCAACACTTGTTGGTCATTCCTGTCTGTTCCGGGCTGCCAGCTAGTATGAAGAAAGCTGCCATAAACCTCCACATATAGATCCTTGTGTGGACATGCGTGTACTCATTTCTCCTGAAGCAAACACCTAGAATTAGGTGTGCTGGCTCACACTGTGAGTGTTTAGCTCTGTAACAGACTACAATACCGTTCTATGTACACCTTGGCCGGATCCTGATTCTAGGATCACACGCTGCACCTAGTTCTGATCTCATTAGCCTTGCAGGTATAATTCAAGAGGCCCGAGAACATACGCATCCTCTAAAAGACTTGCACAACCCTGTCAAAGCAGCACTGCTTGTTGTGAACTCTAACTTGTAAACAACCCAAATTTTCAGGAAGAGTAGGATGGATGAAAAAAACGTTCAATATTGTTATAACAGTGAGATAGCATGCAGCAATGAAAAACAAAGTAACACCACATATAACAATATGGACAGGTCTCACAAATGATTTTAGTATCAGAAGCCAAAGGCCAAAAAAAGCACATACTGACGATTCCATTTATATAAAGTTCAAGGCAGGTGCAACGGAAGCACCACGAGGAAAGTCAGGAAAGCAGTTTCCTGTGGTGTGGGAGCCGAGACGGAAAGATCTGAGACACCTCGGGTCACGCTCCCGTCTAGCTCCCTTTGTGGAAACCCGACAAGCTGCACATACATTTCTGAGGAATGCGCCTCACTGTCCATTTGTTTTACTCCAATACTCAAAAATTCAAGAGCATACTTAACCTGGATTTTAAAACCAAACAAAAAGGAGACTGAATCCTTTGAGTTAATTTCCAACCTCGGTTTTCAGAAATCACCCTGACTTCCCCGTAACCAAACCTACGTGTCTCAGAGACACTGCTCCGGACGGAGAAGGTGCAGGGTGAAGGCTGTGGAGGCCATGCTGGGTGTGCACCGGCACACCTTCTACAGAGGAAGCTGGACGGGGCAAATCAAGAAAATTACAAAGAAATGAATGCTATTTTATCTGGTAACTCCTTTCCAGGATTTCATCCTAAATCAACAACTCAGTCAAACACTTATCAGCAGTGATGTAAAGTTATACATTAAAACATTTTTTGGATAAAAATCCTTTGAAGGTAATACTTACAATTGGCGTCCCAAAAGGAATGTAACCTGCGAGAGGAGGGAGGAAAGAGTCAGTCCTTGTAACGCCACGCACTGGGCTCCACGGGTCTCTCAACTGAGACCCCGCAAGAGACTTCTGGGCGTGGTCTGGCAGTGGCCCCAGTGAGGGAGGAGGGTCAGTTAGGGGAGAGGCCCACCGCTGTCCCCAGACGCTTTCCCAGCCCAGCCCTCCCTAGCAGAGGGGGCTCCCCTCTGTCCCCCAGCCTCCCTCTCTGTTCCCCTTTAGCCAGTTTTCACTCCCCTCCAAAACCCCGAGGCTCATTCCTGAAGGCAGGGCCGCCTGCGGCGGGGGCACCACCAGTCCACATTTCCTTCACGAGGCAGCTGCCCCTGCCCACTCACTGCACACGCTGCGACGTCTCTGAAGGCCCCGAACGTCCTCCTTCCTCCCTCGGCTTGTCTTTTTAGCGTGCACCCTTACTTCCCTGGCATCGGGACCATTTCTAGGAAGGGAATTTCCTACCCACCTGAGATGTGTACCTCGAAGTGCCAGAGCCCTTCCCATGTCCAGGCCCCTGGCTAGACACCCTCCGCAGAGCAGGACAGAGCTGGTGAGAAGCCCTGGGCCCCGTTTCGTCACTGCTCATGGCCCCTAGTCCAAGGCAAGGCTCCCTCCACTGTCCTCACTGCTGTTCATGGGCAGCCTCCTGTCCCCAACCTCTAACTTATAGCAGATGGTAGCTGGATAGCAGCAAATCACGCTTAGCCATCTGAGTTACGTGTAAAGCAAAGGTTTGCATCCTGAGGGTGCACAGTTGTGCGTGCACGTGAGCCACCACCCTCCCACCCGAGGCCCTCTGGAGAGAGGTCCAAAGTTTGACTGGAGAACTACAAAAGAAGCCAGACTCAGGGTGAGAGCCTGCTATGGCCTTGTCCAGGGACTGGGGAGCACTCACAGCCATGGCTATAAGATGCTCATAACCTCACGCAAGGGGAGGTTATCATGGGGGACCAACGGCCCCATCTCCACAATAAAGTCACATGGTTGCTCATTCTCTCACCTCCATGAGGTCAGGCTGTTTGAGAGAGAGGACGCTGGATGACCCACCAGACTGAGAACACCCGCTGGTAGAGACCCTCTCTCCAGCTTCCTGAGGACTTCCCAAGGCAGCATCCAGCAGCCGTCCCACCCACCCTGGAACTCGGGGGTGGTACCCCAGGGAGGAGGCATCAGCACAGGTGTTGAGTCTGACTCCGGGCAAGACCTGTGGCCCCTCAAAACTCTGGCAGGATAACCACGGCAGACCCAGAAGTGCTTTCTAGGCCATTAGGTTCACACACAGAGAACTGTCCTAGTGTCCACAGGGCAGGGACTTCCCAGGGGACAGGGATCTTACACCTACTCTCCCACTCCCCGCCTCCCACCCACTGGCCTAAGAATGGGAATTCACCAACCCTGTGTGTGCAGCAGGAGAAATACAGTGGGGACAACAAGGAGGAGGTGGTTAATGGCAGGATCAGACTCCAAGGAGTTGGTCTGGGGATTAACCAGGTAAAAGGGCTGAGCAGGGAGCAGGAAGTGGGAGAGAGCGCAGGGTGCACCACTAGGGGCGCAGCGCCTCGCAGAAGGTAGGGTTTGCCCGCAGCGGGCGTTACTCTTGAGGCGAATGGTGTGTAACACTCCACCCCGGCTGCCTAGGCAGAAAAGGCACATTTTAAAAAAGCCCCACAGGTGATTCTAAGGCCTGGCCAGTGTTGTATAGCTGAGCCAAGGTTAAAATGCAGGTGCAAGTGTGGCCGTGGGTATAACAGGCTCCATCCCTTCCTCAGGCCGCACATCCAGACATTCCTGGAACTGTGACCATAGGGAGTAGCCTTGGCTGAGCAGAACCAGGAGGTCCCAGGGGCTTACCTGACATTCTAAAGGGCATGAAGATCTTCTCATTGGTGTCTGGGTGTAGAATAGCCTGGCAAGAGCAAGGAACAGAGCACAAGGGGACAGTGGGAGAGAGACAGGGACGGGGACAGGGAATGGGGAGGAACAGAGGCAGGAAAGGAGAGCTCCCCCAGGGTGACTGAGATGAACGGCGGCCGTATCTTGCCTTCTGGCTGGTCCGTCCTTCCCTACCATTCAGGGCAGGAGAAAACTAAAACTGGGACCCTAACAGGACTTATCCTCTGACTAATGCTCAAAGCTGAATGCAGAGAGGACGGGACTGTGTCTACCATGCAGGCCCTCTGCACCCCCGTGCCTGGCACACCATAGGCATGTAATAAGGAGTGTGTGGAAGGGGCCACAGGGAAGGAGCTCGGGGGCCCAGGGAAGGTGAGCTGGTCTGAGCTCCAGTCTTCAGAAACTCAGGCCCTGGGTGCTGGGCGAGCCTCGAAGGGAGGGGTGGCCAGGACCAGAGGGCAGGGAGAGACTGGACACACAGCAGCCAAGGATCCCCTGCACACAGTGGGGTAGGGTCCAGGAGAGCATAGGGAAGGGGAAGAAAATAAGCCAAAGCTCGATTACCTGCTTGATTTTCTGTGCACTCCAAAGCTGGAAGGAAGGGAGAGAGAAAGAGAAAAGAAAAAGGAAAACAATTAAAGCACATATCAATTTAAGGTCTCACCGCTTCTCGGTCTGTTGGCTAAGATCGAACCTAGTATCAATGCGAGGTCTCAAAGCCACATTCTCTACCCAAGAGGTCCAGCTCCCAAGGGCAACAGAGGCTCCCGCTGTCTGGCCGCCCCAGGTCTGGCAGTTACCCCAAGGGTGTGGTGTGGCATCAGGGACCCCAGAACTGCAGAGCTAGGGGATCGCAGGCAGATCATTTAAACAAAGGATTCTCAACTCTGGCTGCTGTAACGTTACGTGAAGAATTCTTCCAGCACTTTTCTAAAGCTTCCTGGCTGATCTACTGCAGGATTAGGTAAGAAGCCTGGTTTCTTTTTATTGTTTCTGCTGTTACAGTTGCCCCAATTTTTCCCCCTTTGCACCCCTCCACCCAGCCTGCCCCCCATTATGCAGAAGAAGCCTGATTTAAATGCAGATCCTTCAACTTTCTGCCAGAATCACTAGAGGCAGCATAACACGATCGTTTCAGAGCGAGGCAGACTGCGTGGATTCCCAGCTTCGCCACTCCTGCCTCCGAGGCCCAATTTCCTCGTCTATAAAATGGGGATAATAACTGTGCCGCTGACACGGTGGAAAAAAAAATGAAAAGCGCCTGGAGCAGCACGGGGTACACAGAAGGGGCTTCATAACTGCCTACCGCTGTAGAGAGTATTATTATTCCTATTGTTCTTGTAAGAAGGCTGCGGGGAGAAGAAAGTTGCTTTCAAATGAGTGGTAAAGGCGTCTCTCGTCAGCACAAGTGTGTGTGTGGCGCAGGCTGGAGAGACAGAACAATCTGTCAGTTCCTTCAAATGATATAAATACTGTATTTCATGGAACTTAAGACATCATGAATCCTAAGACACTCTTCTGTGCCACTAAGTAAGAAAACAATGACATAATGCCAAGACCAACATCAATAAAAAGACTCATCCCATTTAAGAGATGTTAAAAATGTGATAGACCTCTTAGAGTCAAGAAAATATGCTAAGTAAAAAATTTACAGTGTGGGCAAACCAAGGGCCGGTGTATTTTAAGAAAGAGAGATGGGTATGAGGTGAGAGAGAAGATATGCCCAGCAGGTGACACTTAATTTTATGAGGGAATAGTTCAGTTATGCTTCATTTATATGGCACTGTTGTTGTCTGGAATATAAATTAAGTTACAGAAGGCTACAGGGTAGCAAAAATAGAAGTTATAAAATTGATATATTAAAGTTTATGCATTTTACTCACAGCACAGTCCCTCAAGCCTTAATTCACAGCCTAATTACTCTTATTTTAGATACGTTTCAAACATATTTGATTGTCTGCTATTCCAGGAAGATTGGAAGCAGTAGATTTTTAAAAAATAATAATTGGGGAACAGAAGGGACTGAAATGAGAAAAACCAAATGCAGGATCACTGTTAGCCAAAGGAGGTAAGTGAGAGCATACAGCAAAGATGTAAAAAAAAAAAGATAAAAGCCCCGGCTGGTGTGGCTCAGTGGATTAAATGTCAGCCTGTGAATCAAAGGGTTGCTGGTTCGATTCCCAGTCAGGGCACATGCCGGGGTTGCAAGCCAGGTCCCCAGTAGGGAGCACATGAGAGGCAACCACACGTGGATGTTGCTCTCCCTCTCTTTCTCCCTCCCTCCCTCTCTCTGTAAAAATAAATAAATAAAATTAAAAAAAAACAAACTGAGAGAGTGCCTTCCTGAAGGCCTCCCCCCCCCCCCCCCCCCCCCCGCTGAGTGCCACTTTAGCTGTGAGGCTCCCAGTGCTGTCCCCAGCATTTCCCACAGCACTGGCTGTGTGGAAAGCCTAAACCTATTCTGCAATTAAAATCTTAAAACACTCAGGGTTCCTTCGTGCAGTTCTTTAAAAAAAAAGTTCCCCAGGATTCTGATGAATAGCCCAGGTGGAAAACAGTGGCCTAAGACCCCAAAGGGCATTGTAAAGAGGGGGGTTAGAACCAGGCAGGCCTGTATTCAAATCACTCACAGGAGGTGTGGCGCTGGGCAAATTACATGGCCACGGGGCCTCGGTTTCTCCGTCAGTGAAGTGGGCTGCGCGAGGGTAGGGCAGATGCTCGGTGCTCCCTGGCATTTGCGCTTCCCTTTGGGCACACGGCCAAGCCTGCACCTCCCGGCTTCCCCCACAGCCGGGGGGGGGGGCACCCACGGACCGAGTGCTGGCTAACGCACTGTGGGAGACAGTGGTGTTGGCCGCCCATGGACAATCCAGTGGAGGAGCAGGAGGCCCTGGACGTGGATAAAGCCACCAAGTGAAGGGAGCTGGGTCCCTGGACAATGGCACGTGCCAAGTCCCCGAGCTGCACTGGACTCCGACGTGAGTGAGAGACAGACCTCACTGCCTAAGCCCCTGGACTCTGGGGATTGTTTGTGACAGCACTTGGCTCACCCTGACTCGTCCAGAGGTCTAAATGGGAGATGCATATCTGAACTACTTGGCCCATAGGACGTGCTCCATAAATGCCTAATACAGAGGGACAATCATTCAAATGAGCAATATTTGTAATGGACTTAATTATTTTTTAAAGTCACTTCATGTCATTATCTTATTCCTACAACATGCCTGTGAGGTGGGTAGATATTTCCTCACACGGTGACTCATGTCAGAGAGACTAAGTGGCTCAGCCAGGGTGCCAGGGGCTTGGGGGCAGGATGGGCATGGCACACGGGCCTCCTGTCCTCTGGGCTCACATCCTCCCTGCTCTCCAGGGGCGCCCAGGAGGAGGAGATGGATGTCTGTTCTGGCTGGGTGCCTGCCAGGCCCCGGGCGGGAGAGGAGGGAGAGAACTGGCCGGCAGCACCCTGAGGGTGCACAGCCTCCTGCAGCCCGGCAGCAGACGCTCCCTCCGGCCCCTGTTCCTACCCTCCTGCCGAGGTCCGGCCAAGCAGCCCTTGTGATCCATGGTGCATCTGTGTCCATCAGGTTCAAGGGCTGCCTCCTCTATCCCCACCCAGGGGGCAGCGATAGAGAGTCAGACAGATGCTGGCTAATCAGCAAAGGGAGAGTCCAGCAGGGCTCTCAGCAGGCAAGGCCAGGAACCCAGAGCTCACAGACATGTTCCCCAGCCCTCACTGCCTGACACCACCATACACAGGGCCCCAACAAACTAGTGTCACAGATAAGAAGCAATGGTAAAGTCTCTCATGATAGATAACTCCATGTTTTTCTATTTTGCTGAGTACTTTCCCACAGAAGCCCTGGGATTTGAACTCAAGCGGTCCAGTACAGAACCCCCACCTCTTCATCACTGCATGCCCCTGTCTCTAAAGCTAGCACACCATTCTGTCCCTTTGGGCAACTAAAATGTTTTGGCAATCTTTCCACATCAGCACACTGAAGAGCACCTTGCTCTTCCTAATAGAAACCTCAAATGAATATATCGTATATTGTAAACTATGCCCTATTAGTGAACTTTTAGGCTATTTCCCATCTTTTTTATACATGACATAAAATGTACCATTTTAACCATTTTTAAGTGGCAGTTCTATGGCATCAAGTACATCCACATTGTTGTACAGCCATCACCAGCATCCAGCCCAGAACCTTCCGTCTCGTCCAACTGAAGTCCGTACTCAGTGAGAACTCCCTCCCCCACCTCCCCCTGTGGCTCCCGCCAACCACCACTCTTTCCATCTCTGTGAACTTGACCGCTCAAGATATTTCATGTAAGTGAAATCACACAATATTTGTCCTTTGTGACTGTCCTTTCTTTTCCTGTACAACCATGCTCCATGGAATTAACATGGAGTTATCATTATTTTATCATTAGTATTTAAAGGAAAAGGAGAGCCCTAACTGGTGTAGCTCAGTGGATTGAGCATGTGCTGTGAACCAAAGGTTCACTGGTTCAATTCCCAGTCAGGGCACATGCCTGGGTTGCAGGCTAGGTCCCCAGTAGGGGGAGCACAAGAGGCAACCACACACTGATGTTTCTTTCCCTCTCTTTCCCTCTCCCTTCCCCTCTCTCTAAAAATAAATAAATAAATAAATAAATATAAAAAAAAGAATAGATGTGTTCAGATAAATCTGGTAGGACAGAGGAAAAATTAATGCTTACTCCAGAGGGAGGCAGTGGGCAATGGGGGGGACAGGGAAAGAGAAACTTTTTTTTATTCTCTACCTTTTTTTATATCTTTTGAATTCTGTAGATAGTTCATATGTTACCGATTCAAAAAGAATTGCTTAAAAAAATCAAGAGTAACCACGAAAAACAACTTCTACATTCTTTTTTCACCTCAATGGCACAAACTGCCAACTATCCAACAAAACCTATGTCCCCTTCTTCCATAGTAATAGAACAGTAGTAGGAAGATAGCTGACCTGCTGCACACTACATCTCCCAGCTTCCTTTGCAGTTAGGCTTATCCCTGTGACTGAGACCCCAGTGGCATGGGAAGTGAGACGTGCCTTTCCCTAGGGAGGGCCTCCCATTCTGTGCTTTCTGTTCCCTTCCCATGAGCCAGAGCCAGGATGCAGCTGCAGCTCAGCCTTCCCTGCAGAGGACAACCCAAGAAGATGGTAGAGAAACATGATGGAAGGATCCTGGGTCCCTGAATGGTCCTGTGGAGCAGAGCCATCTGCCCACCTGAAACTTGAACTGTTATGTAGGTGAGAAATAAACTTCTATGTTATTTGAGCTGATGTATTCTGGGATCTTTTTTGTTACAGCAGTTAGTATAACCCTAACTAAGATAACCCATAGGAAACTACCTCCCATGATATCAGAGAAGCCTTTCCAGAGGCAGGAGGAAGGAATGAAAGCTCAGATAGTGTTTGAGGCTCTTCTCACGAGATTTGGCAATGCTCCCACCTCAGATGTTTTGCAGTGCGGTGGGAGGGGCATCTCCACTTTAAACTGAAATTCCTTGCAGTGACCTGATCTCGTGCAGGCTCACCCTGTCTCCAGACTGTAGCAACAACAGCCAGGGT